AAAAGAATTCCCTCCCCCCTGATGCTCGGCTGTAATCTTGAGGACTAGCACTACAATTCAGTGTTGGATCCCTGCGACTGGCAGATAGCCAATTGTGCATATTTGCACTTAATCCAAAGAAAAATTAAATATTTTAATGTTTTTAATTAATCGACAAGGTTGAAAGAGCTAAACTTAAATAAAATAAATATTAGCATAGAAATCAGGTAATGACGTAAATTTATATTCTCTTAACATGTAAGAAGATTTGATTTATGGCAAGTGTTTGGAATTTTTTCATTTCTTTCTTGAGTACTTCTTAACTCTGTTGTACAGAAGACTGAGTACGTTATATTGAAACGGTTTTGAATATGCAAATCAGCAACTCACATAACATCTACAACCGAACTACTTTTTGACATTATTTGCCGTTTCTTAAATAGTGTTACGCTACAGAAAATAGATCGCTTTTGCGAAGGGTATGTAACAACCCTTTCTGATGGAAAGTATTCATACATTCAAATCATAAAGATTCTTTGAGATCGGGAGTTTAGTTATTCCAAGACAGGGATATATCCCTTTACTTAATGACATTGAAAACAAAGGAATATGGATCAACTTGGGCCATCAGGACCACCCAGAACGAGACCTGCAACAACTTGTACCACAGCCGTGGTACGCAAGATGCAGCGTCTTGTAACAACTTACAATCCACGTAGCCTAGGCAACAGCACGCGACATAATCAAGAAGGGTTCTCGTCTGAAAAAGCGGCATGAATCACGTGTACAGAAGTTGATTTCACGACATATATGTTCATCCGTTGCATACCCCAAGCAAATGAAGAACGAAACGAGTATTCATGCCATTTCATATGAAGCAATACCGGTCCAGTCGCCTATGGATTTATGCGCTGGAAAACCGTCGTCCTTATGCATTAAATGTCTTATATAAAACTATCAGGGTAGAGGGGTGTACTTTGTACATGACAGTCTTGCTTCGGAGCCTTTTACAGTAAATAATAACGGTGAAGGGCTATTGTCAAGATACATGGTCGTCAGCTAGAACATGACCGGAGGTGGCGACATAGAGTTTTAACGACGTGGTGAGGCTCCAAAATTGCTTTAACATAACGTACCCATCCTCTGTATTTTAGTTAATTTTAGCAACTGTTAGGTTGGTGTTTAATATATAAACAACATAATAGCGATAGTAAGTAACAGGTGTGTTATTGAAAATAGTTATAACTAGTGATATCTTTGGTCAGTGATTCTTTACTCGACACAAGGATAACAAGTGGAAATAATATCTATTTATCTTTAACACTTTAGTATGGAATTTGATTTTTACATACCAGTTTTGTAACTACTAAGACACTAGGGTTTATTTCAGGTACTACAACTACTTGTACACTTACTATCTGCACAATCTTCTGCACAAAACTGTTGACCAATCACAGAACTGTGAGGATATTCTGATGAACTTTCTAGTCAGTCACGTGACCAAGCTCCCACCAATTAAAGTGACACAACGAAAGCAATATAAAGAAAGCATGACGTCGGGTGGTAAAACGTACCCCACACCCTGGAACGACTCAGACCACTTCCTCCAGAGACAAGCCTGCATTAACAGCTTTGTTGGAACATTTGGGTATATGCCGCTCGTGAGATCAAGTCTTCGTCTTGACCCCGTGCTCTTCAAGGACCCAGTATCTAACCTACGGAAGCGCTACCGGAAGCTGGAACTAGATGGCGGAAAGTGAGAGTTTAAAGTGCCATTACTGTGTTTGGCTAGAAACCAATATCCGACAAATGTGTCTTGTGACAAATATGACCAGTCTGACGTCGAGAGTATAGCAATAAGAAGCGTGTAGTGTAGTGTGGCCGAATTACTTTCTTACGCGAACACATCTTCCTAAGCCTTTTTTTTTTTTGTAACTGCAGATTTAAGAAAACGTGTTTAGTAAGTATAACATTGCTAAAGCAGTTCCACAGACGCGGTGTAATTATTTACATGAATGTTGGTCAATTAGAATCCGCTTACAGTTCACCAAACAGTAAACGAGAGAGGAAGTCAGACTTTAAACCTAGTGTTAGGCTTAGTAGAATATCGGCATAAAGCATGACGGATTAGTTTCCTATCTAAGAACAGAACAGAGAGGATAGTTTCTCATCATATTATGTATGTATTCCATGGTGTGTGTGTGTGTGTGTTAGCTGGTTTAATGTTCAGGTTCACGTAACGCTTAATTTGAATGGCTTAGAAGCCTGCTTTGTTCCTGATTATAATAGCCCAAATTTTTATTGTGATGACCAGGTAATTTCCGTGTTTTTAAACGACAGTGTCTAAGTGAAAAAATAGTCCTAACTTAAGCAACGAGAGCTGGAATCTGGTTTGTACAGACCTAGAAAAAATATATACATTTAGAAGAAATGCCCATTTAACAAACTTGATGGTACAATTGGCTTATATGTGACGTCTTGGACCTTACTCTAAACTCTTACATGCTGCTAAGAGAACAAATATTTCAGGAATTCAAGTAAGAATGCCCTCTAGCGTTTAAGGTTAAAACTAATGCGAAGAAGATCAAGATTATTCTGTGTGCTACTGTCGCAAAGAGAAAGAAGTAGAACAAAACTTACAAGTATTCGTACAACATTCCTTTTTTATGTAACTCTTTTTATTTCACATTTTCGTGTTTTTGGTAGGTGTCTCCACATGGTCACACACACAGTTCTCACGTTTTTCATTTTAATGTTGTTCAATGTATTGATGGAAAGGTGTTTTTTTTTTATATATATCAACGAACAGTGATAATATATTTAGATATAGCTTATAAAGAAGAAGCTCGTCGGAAAACAAAACCTCAGCAAAATTTAGGGTTTCAGGTCAACGTTGAAAGGTTACAGTTTTCGTATGTACGTAATTGTAATGTTTATTTTATTTCACTTCTAAATAAGTACAATTCGTCCTACATATTTATTATATTTCGGACATTTTGGGATTGTAACCCCCCCCCCCCCCTCCCTTGGGCGCATAGGCAACGGAATATATATATTTGAATTGGGGGGGGGGGCATCTTATTTACTATGTTAACCTTGACCATTGATTTCAAAACTATGATAGTTATACACAAGTCCCCATTCAAAGGGGCACGTGCTCCCCCCACCCACAGCCGGTTCCGCCACTTATGTATGGGTATTATTTTTTCATATTTGTGGACCTCAAATCGTGTGATTTCTGCTGATCCAATAGGTTTTATGATAATCGGGATTGATTCTGTTTCCTGACCATGTTAGTGACGTATTCTGCCGTGAGGGCGCTGTAAACCTAATTTATTTTTGATTCTGCTTCCCAATCGTGTTTTTGACGTATTTTCGCCGTAAGGACCCTGTAAACCAAATTTCCGTTTGATTCTGTTTCTTGACCATGTTAGTGACGTATTTCCGCTGTGAGGGCGCTGTATACCTAACTTCTGTTTGATTCGGCTTCTTGACCGAGTTTGTGACGTATTTCCGCTGTGAGGGCGCTGTAAACCTAACTTCTGTTTGATTCTGCTTCCTGACCAAGTTTGTGACGTATTTCCGCTGTGAGGGCGCTGTAACCTAACTTCTGTTTGATTCTACTTCTTGACCGAGTTTGTGACGTATTTCCGCTGTAAGGGCGCTGTAAACCTAACTTCTGTTTGATTCTGTTTCCTGACCATGTTAGTGACGTATTTCCGCTGTGAGGGCGCTGTAAACCTAACTTCTGTGTGATACTGAAACGACATTTAAGCATCAAATCGATTTTTAGTGACAGCAAAAAATCTCAATGCATCTTAATTAATTTTCTAAGTCATGACTTGCTGGTTTTACCTTTTGCAAAGCTATTTTTTACCTACAAACAACTCCATCTGGTGTTTGAACATCTAGGACTGACGATACTCTGTTTCGCTCTGTTTTTCCTAATTTTAAGTTCAAAGAGTTCCTACGTTTTGCTCATGATACTGTGAAATAATTTCGTATTAAATATTATGTGTTGGAAAAGATAATAAAATTGTGTTTTTCAAATCTCAGACTTCCTCTGCAATTCACTGACCAAAACAACCCTTATTTGAAAGGAAGTTTGAAGGTTCATAAAGTATGTAACTTTTCGTCTTCTTACCGTAAATGTTTCTTGTAGCTCAACCATTTGCTGCAGAAGAAGAACGAGTGACTTGATATATAACAGTTTGACACATTTATCATAAACTTTAATCAGGTATTTGTGGTCCATTACGTTAAACACGTATGTGTATGTATGTGGTCCGATACGATAATCAAGTGTGTGTGCTTGTGCAGTCTGTAAAACACAGGTGGCTGTGTATGTGATGCGATACGTTTAATCAGGTGTAAGTTACGATAAAAGGTCCATTCCTTTAAACAGGTGTTCGTATAGTTTAGAACAACAGTAAATGATGAAGAAGGCTCTAAACATGTTTACATTCAACCATATATTGTAATTTCCACGTGTTCAAGTATAGTTTAGAACAACAGTTAATGATGAAGAAGGCTCTAAACATGTTTACATTCAACCATATATTGTATTTCCACGTGTTCAAGTATAGTTTAGAACAACAGTAAATGATGAAGAAGGGTCTAAACATGTTTACATTAAACCATATATTGTCTTTCCACGTTGTTCGTTAAAGTATAGTTTAGAACAACAGTAAATGATGAAGAAGGCTCTAAACATGTTTACATTCAACCATATATTGTATTTCCACGTGTTTATATATTGTATTTCCACGTGTTCAAGTATAGTTTAGTTGTTCCCTTCTTCATCATTTACTGTACAATATATGGTTGAATGTAAACATGTTTAGACGTTAAAGTATAGTTTAGAACAACAGTAAATGATGAAGAAGGCTCTAAACATGTTTACATTCAACCATATATTGTATTTCCACGTTTTCAAGTATAGTTTAGAACAACAGTAAATGATGAAGAAGGGTCTAAACATGTTTACATTCAACCATATATTGTCTTTCCACGTTGTTCGTTAAAGTATAGTTTAAAACAACAGTAAATAATGAAGAAGGCTCATCTACCAAGTCAGTTAGTGGCTATCACCAGATCATACACAAACAGTGGGTATGTCAGATTCTCACGCATCAGGTTTAGCTCCTCGTAACCTGAACGTACCGTTTATTTAAAGTATATTAAGTACGTTTTTATGGAAAGGAAACCGTCACATCCAGTACAACTTTGTGTGTCTGGTGGTTAGGGTAGTCGACTTGCAAACCAGCGAATCGCGGGATTGTAACCCGTCGTAGAACATATTCGTCCTCTCAGTCGGGAGACGTTATAATGTGATGGTCAATCCCACTACTTTGCTGGTAAAGGTATTCCGAAGAAGCTGTATTTTATTCCCTCTAGGGCAACAACCATATCAGAACACAAACAACAATCGTACGTGTGTCGCTAAAAAAGTGTAACCAGAAACCACTTCTTAACATAGTTCCTTTGAAGTACGGTGTATGAGAGTCGGCGGCGGGTGCTGTTGATTAGTTGCCTTCCCTCTAGTCTATCACTTTAAAATTATGGGCAGATAGCCCTCGAGTACTTTTGTGCGAAATTCAATAAGATGTAGGTGTAGTGTTAAGAATCCAACTGCATACAGCTGCTCTAAGAATATCACTTGTCTGAGACAGTTGTCCACTTCGATCGTCATAAACGAGAGTACAAAATAACCAAGAAAATGGAATCTTATCTGCACGCTTGTTTTCACCTTTCTTTGTGAAGAACTTGCTTGGTTACAACACTTTTTCCAAAACCAATTTCATCCTAAGTCGCCATTTTGTAATCGTGTCGTACGTCACCTATCGTAGGAAAACCGTAACACACGACGCCGTTAGCAACGAGACTAGAAACAAGATCATTCGTCGAATTCAATTTATTCTTATTCTGTTTATGAGAAAGAAAATCCAACATATTTTTGAAAAGTATTGACAGCTGTGGCTCTACATAAACCACCACGTCAAATACACGGCATTTTATTTCTATTATAGTACATAAACCATTATGTCAAATACACGGCATTGTATTTCTACTATAGTACATAAACCATCACGTCAAATACACAGCATTGTATTTCTACTATAGTACATAAACCATCACGTCAAATACACGGCTTTGTATTTCTACTATAGTACATTAACTACCACGTCAAATACACGGCATTGTATTTCTACTATAGTACAATAACCACTACGTCAAATACACAGCATTGTATTTCTACTATAGTACATTAACCATTATGTCAAATACACGGCATTGTATTTCTACTATAGTACATAAACCATCACGTCGAATACACAGCATTTTATTTCTACTATAGTACATAAACCACCACGTCAAATACACAGCATTTTATTTCTACTATAGTACATTAACCACCACGTCAAATACACGGCATTGTATTTCTACTATAGTACATTAACCATTATGTCAAATACACGGCATTTTATTTCTACTATAGTATATAAACCACCACGTCAAATACACAGCATTGTATTTCTACTATAGTACATTAACCATTATGTCAAATACACGGCATTTTATTTCTACTATAGTATATAAACCACCACGTCAAATACACAGCATTTTATTTCTACTATAGTACATTAACCACCACGTCAAATACACGGCATTTTATTTCTACTATAGTACATTAACCACCACGTCAAATACACGGCTTTGTATTTCTACATGGCACTTGATGATGATGATAAATTAACCAATACATCAAATATACAGCATTTTCTTTCTATTACGATCTATTAACCAATACATCAAATACACAGTATTTTCTTTCTATTACGATCTATTAACCAATACATCAAATATACAGCATTTTCTTTCTATTACGATCTATTAACCAATACATCAAATACACAGTATTTTCTTTCTATTACGATCTATTAACCAATACATCCAAATACACAGTATTTTCTTTCTATTACGATCTATTAACCAATACATCAAATACACAGTATTTTCTTTCTATTACGATCTATTAACCAATACATCAAATACACAGTATTTTCTTTCTGTTATGATCTATTAATCAATACATCAAATACACAGTATTTTCTTTCTATTATGATCTATTAACCAATACATCAAATACACAGTATTTTTCTACTAATATTAACCGGTACATCAAATACACATTATTTTTCTACTAATATTAAGCGGTACATCAAATACACAATTTTTTTATTCTATAACCAATTAGCCGAGACTTTCAGAACAATATACAATAAATTCGGTGTAAAGATTCATCGTTTCCCTTAATTACACAATTCAGTCCGTTTTGTATGAGCGATTAACTATATCTGTTAACTTTAAATTCCTTAAATGGAAACTAATTACCACATTTATCACCGAATTATGCACTCTCGTTGGTATAATTAATCTTTAGTTTAAACAGGTAACAGCCAAATCTAGTATATAGTTCTCTCTCTCTAGACAAATGCCCCCCAGCGGCATGTCTACGGACTTACAACGATAAAAACCGGGTTTCGATACTTGTGGTGGGCAGAGCACAAATAGCCTATTGTGTAGCTTTGTGCTTAATTCCAAACAAACAATCTAGATAAATCTAGTACACAGTTCTCTCTAATCAAATCTAATACACAGTTCTCTCTAATCAAACCTTGTACACAGTTCTCTCTAATCAAATCTAATACACAGTTCTCTCTAATCAAACCTTGTACACAGTTCTCTCTAATCAAATCTAGTACACAGTTCTCTCTAATCAAACCTAGTACACAGTTTTCTCTAATCAAACATAGTACACAGTTCTCTCTAATCAAATCTAGTATCAGTTCTCTCTAATCAAACCTAGTACACAGTTTTCTCTAATCAAACATAGTACACAGTTCTCTCTAATCAAATCTAG